CAGGGTCACCATTTTCTCCCCCTCCAGGTTGTTTGTGCATCGTCGCTTTACTCCCCTCTCGCTCCGGCGCAGTCCACTCCCTCCCCTTGTTGGGACGGCCCCCCTCGCCCGGGCGGTCTGCCTTTCCTCGTCATCTTATTGCTGGAAGGGGCCCGAATTTTCTGTCTTTTTCTCTCCTACCTCTCTGTGGCATTCCCATTACTTACTTCTCCCTCTCTCTTACAAAAATAGGGGTGCCGTCTCTGCATTAGTTTGATTCCTCTCCTGTCCCCCCGGGGCGCCAGCTCAGGCATGGACTCTGTCCTTTGAGAATTTTCTATTTCGTGGCTGTTGAAGGGCTCGTCGCAGGGAGAGGGGCACTGGACAGAGATTCCCATTTAAGAATTCTTTTGGCTGGGAGCGTGAAGGGGGCTCACAGGATCTAAAATATTAATACTTCAGCTGATCTGTACTGGGGTTAAATTCCTACACTGGACACCACAAGAATGTGTTAGAACAGGTTCCCTGTGCAAGGGGCGTCAAACCAAAATGTTCCCACTGCCCTCTTCGCCACTTTTAAACTCCTGGGAGGGGGCAAAAGACGTAATTGGGTTATTAATGATTGATTTCACCGTATTTTTAAAAATTACGTGCCATTCTGAGCCTCCTTCCTGAGAAATTATACGTTTGCTCAAGTGTTTGGTTTGATAACATCTATCCACTGATTTCACCCCTTCCAAAGAGGGGGACTTAAGCTTCCCATTCGTGTATTTAAATTGTTTAAGTGAATCGGAGTGAGATGGTTTACTCCGCAAGGTCCTGGACTTTATTGTAGACTGATGATTGAGTTTGTACACAGAGTCCTACTTAGTAACTATAGCCATTGTCTGTTGCTCTGATGACTTTAGTTGGCAGTCATCGTCCTGGAAGATGTTTTTTGGGCAACGTTACCTGAAGTAGTTTGGAAATGTAGCTTTGAGTGTCGGAAGGCGTTATCAAGAGATGATTCTTAGAGGAGGGCAAATGTGGTACAATTGGGTACTAAAAATAGTCAAGACATTAACACCATTTGGGCAGTAATCATCAGATAATTTTCCATGAAAGAAATGCTTTATGGAAATCTAAGTTTAGCATAGAGACCGTTGTACAGACAATTTAGCCTTCTTTCACAGAGAATGTATTCACAAATACGGGCTTTAGCTCCTAAAGATACATGGCAGTTATGTAAGAGATGTATGCTATCCTTGGCTTAAAAAAAAAAAATCATTCAGCATAAAAAGTACTTAATGCTTTTTGTGTTTTTCAGATTCTCTGAAGTTACACCCATCCCAGAATTTTCATAGAGCTGGACTATTGGAAGGTCAGCAGAGTGCCATTTTAAAGCATATTGTGTGAGTATGCAAAGGCTTTCTCTGAAATGGAGTTTAAATGAGAAAGTGTGAAACTTTGCAAACTCATACAATGTAGTTTTCTCCTAAAGAGCCTGATCCTTCTTTTAGAGCAGCTGAATGTTTCAGTGGATTTTGTGGGTTGCGTTTGATGTGATTGTTAGCTATTGTATCTGCTTGGAGAAGCCTTGAACCCCTCCTCACCCTACCCCCCAAAAGCATTAAAGATTATGTGTTGGGTGTTCTATCTTAGAATTCCAGATATTTAGTAAATAGCTTTTTACAAGCAAACTGAATATGAAAAGGCTCAAACAAGATCATGAATATAACTAAAAGAGTGACACCAAACACATACTTAGTTTGAAAATTCAGTTTTTATATGTTAAGCATTTTAAAGTGATATATTAATTACTTATTATAAAAGCATTGATGTCATTACTATTGCATTATTTTTAAAGATGAGGAAAGCCAAGTAGTAGAGATGATGATTGAGCTGTGCTTAGAAAAAAGGGTTTTAGAACGTTCTGGAAACAATAGAATATGTAGGATAATACAGACAATTGAGGATTACTTCAGAAAACTTTATTTTGTGTTGTTTTTAGCATTTTAAGACAAAAAAATGTTCTGTTTTTATAATTCTTGAAGTGATTTCACATATATTATCTTTGACTCTCACAATCCTAGAATTGCACTGCAAGGACATTTATTTCCCCAATGTAAAGATGAGTAACCTGAGGCCGAAATTAAGAGACTTGGAAGGGCGAGGAGTCACACAGTACCAGAAACAATGCTTTTTGTATTTTAGTTGATGTCCTTTACCCAAAGCCAAGCTGCCATTGTAACATATATATGTAACCAGTGCCCTGTGTGTGGGGGGGGTGGGCTCAGGTTCTTACACATTTTGTGGCCCACTTAAAAAGGACCCTAAATATTTAAGTTTGACTTAAGTGTAGGTGTTTGTTTTCTATATGGTAGTCTGGTATAGGGGAGAAAGATGTGGGTTTTGTAATTGAGCTTAAATTTGAGTACCAGTTTGGCTATTTATTAGCCCTATGACCTTGGCAAGTGATTTTACCTCTCTAAATTTTGTAAGAGTCTATTTATAAAAATGTATATAATCACTTAAATTTAGTGAGCTAATGTTTATGACAATGTCTAGTATAGTATCTGGCTTAATAAATTTTTTGTTTGTTTGTGTAAGCTGAATTGTTTTAACTATAGTTTAGAGCATATAGAAGGTTCTCAAGTTATTGATTATATTTATACTTACAAGAAGCCCATAGATATATATTAGTTTGAAAATCAACTACAATATTAGATGAGGAATTATTAGAAGTGTTTCTTAGTGAAGTAGATTTCTTATTTTTGTTCATACTGTTCAGTTTGTGACCATGTTGTAGAGTCATATTTGTGTGTGCAAACCCATCTATTCTCTGGAGAAAG